AAAATAGAAACAATGCTATGTAAGATGCTTTGTTTAACAGAAAGGGTTTGCAGCGAGATAGCAGCCACAGGACACCTGAATCTTTCAGAGAAAGAGAATTTATTGCCTTCTTATCAGAAGAAATGAACTTTTTCCCGCCTCGAAGGCGCTGTTAGGATTAGAAGGAAGAAGTTGCTGATGACCAGACAGAATCCTGTGTTTGAATGGAATTTATGCATCATGTATGAAGTGTATGAATATAAAATATTCATATATCATATGAATATAAATAAAATAAAATAAAATAAAATAAATAAAATAAAATAAAATAAAATAAAATAAAATATAATATAATATAATATAATATAATATAATATAATATAATATAATATAATATAAATAATAGATATAATATATATTTTATATATCTATATTATATATAAATAATATATAAATAAAATAAAAACAATAGCAACAGGCTATTGTTTTTAAGGGTTAACCCTTTGTTAGCAGGGGTCCTTTTTCAGGCTCATGATGCCCAAAAAAAGGTACCCAGACCTCCGTAACTCTTTGTTTTTATTGTCTCATATTGTCCTAATTCAATTTGCCCAAATTGTTATTACTCTAATTGTGTTGCTATTCTTTTTAACCATTTTATTACGATTAAACTTTTAAAACCTTTAAAAAACAAGCGATTGGCATTTTTCACAGCCACCAGAGCGTGGTGGGGATGAAAGGTCTGAGCCAGGTGAGGGTCGGGTTCTTCTCGCAGGGAACAAGGACAAGGGGAAACAGCTTCAGGCTGGGCCAGAGGAGGTTCAGGCTGGATTTGGGACAAATTCCTTCCCCAAAAAGGGCTGGCCCAGCTGCCCAGGGCATGGTGGAGTCCCCATTGGTGAAAGGATTTAAAACCCCTGTGGATGTGGCACTTGGGGACATTGGCACTGCTGGGGGGATGATTGGGATTTTTTTTTTTGCTCTCCCAGGACTTTTCCCCCTGATTCTCTGCAGACATTGGGGGTTTTCCAGCCCGGGGTGATTTATGGCCTGTCCCCTGTGCAAACAGGGCAGGAGGAAGCTCAGGAGGACACCCAGGATGCTGCCCCGAGGGTGACCCGCGGCTCGGCGCCCCTGGAGCCACCAGCAGTGGAAAACATCCCCATAAATCACACGGGGACAATGACACCGCACCTGGAAGTCCCCAGGGAGGGACAGTGTCAGTCAGAGCCTGCAGCAAAAACCCCAGCTGGCCCTGGAACATTCCAGGTGCCGCCAGCTCCAGCTTTCCATGGAGAAAGGTGGGATCCACATCCAGGCGTGGGGATCCAACACATCCCCAAGGATTCACTGGTCTCACTGCTTCCCTTCGATCTTTCCCAATTCCCTCCAAACTGTGCCCCGTTCCTTAAAAATTCCCGTAAATTCTGTAATTCCTTCCAAAATCCTTCCCAGATTCCCTCCAAATTCTTCAATTCCCTCTGAACTTCCTCCAAAATCCTCCCCAGATTCCCTCCAAATTCTTCAATTCCTTCCGAACTTCCTCCAAAATCCTCCCCAGATTCCCTCCAAATTCTTCAATTCCCTCTGAACTTCCTCCAAAATCCTTCCCAGATTCCCTCCAAATTCTTCAATTCCTTCCGAATTTCCTCCAAAATCCTCCCAGCTCCTTCCAAACTCCTCAGCTATTCCCATTTTCTCCATGCATCCCACCTAGGATTTAACAGCAAGAGAAAGAGTCTCAAAATAGATGCACAATTTTTAAATTTCATTTTTAGCTGCCTGCGCCAGCCCTGAGCAGGCACCAAAAAGCCACAGAATCCTTGGAGGCCATTTTGGGAATAAAAAGCAGGTATTGCTGCTTCCCTGCAAGTCTTTCCCAATTCCTTCCAAACTGTGCCCCGTTCCTTAAAAATTCCCTTTAAATTCTGTAATTCCTTCCAAAATCCTTCCCAGATTCCCTCCAAATTCTTCAATTCCTTCTGAACTTCCTCCAAAATCCTTCCCAGATTCCCTCCAAATTCTTC